TATTTATGTTTGTTATTTAGAACATAAACTATCTTAAACTGCCCCACATGCTAAAAAATGTCTCGTTTTCTTTGACATTTGATCAAATTCTGTTTGATCAAAATCAGTTTGAGAATTGCACCGCTCAAGGTGGCTGCATGTTGGAGCAGCTCTGTTACTTTCGTCCTGAAATTTTGCTTTTGGAAACTTTAATTCCTCTTTTTCTGGATGTAAATCACATTTTTTGGATGATTGTTTCCTCTGGTATCAGATGTTGTGCAGCTGGAAGGATTTTTACTGAAACTTTTTTTGTTTTGGACATTTGGTATGATGCGTAACCATGGCAACAAGGCAGTTTTCTACAACCAACAGCAGCTGATTAACATCTCAAAAGCTCAAATAATATCTCAACTACAGCCCCAAATCTCAAGTGAGTTGAAAAGGATATTTTGTGGATGCATTCTCATCTACCTGCCAGCTGTGCTCGAGTGCCTGACCACTGAGATCCTGGAACTAGCAGGAAACACAGCTCATGACAGCGGAAGGACAGGATCGTCCCTCGGCACCTACAGCTGGCTGTCCGCAGCAACGAGGAGCTCGGCAGACTGCTGGGAGGAGTTCTGCCCGGCATTCAGGCGGTCCTACAGCCTGAGGGAACCGAGAGGCCAGCTGAGTCTGGACGGATCGGACGGCATCTGCAGCCATTTTCTAGGATCCACTGTGAGATGGATCTTTATAAGAGATCCTTCCTGCCTACAGCCATCAGTATCTATAACATCTCTTAATGAAATGAGGATAACGAGTTACAACAACAAATAATTTCCCTTTGGGATTAATAAAGTATTTTTGACTTGAATTGAAATTAACAATGTCTTTCATCAATTCTAAAACATTTATGAAATTGTATTGCAGAGGAGTTTTCTCCATTTAAAGCACCTTTAAACAAAAGGCAGCTTACTTGTAGAGTCCAACAGAAAACTTGAATTGAAATTATTTTTGCCTATGTGTGTGTCTGTGTATGTGAGTTTGTTTATGTTATACTTGGGGACTTGAACCAGCGTACACACGTCATTTGGGGACACCGTGGCAACTGGCGACCAAGTGTGTCTTATGTGTGTGTGTGTGTGGGGGGGGGGGGGGGGGGGGCATGTATGTGTGTGTAAGAGTTTATCTTTAGTGTTAGCTAGTGAACCAGAGAACAGATTTTACAAAATGTAAAAAGAAACGATTGAATTAACATTTAGGCTATAACAAATTAACTTTTGGAGTCAAAAACCCATTTAAAAATTATTACCCCCATCTAATGCCTCTTTTCCATAGCCTCTCTTCAACAAGGTTCGACTCAGCTCAGTACGGTTCCAAGACTTTTTCCATTAGCAATTTTTCGTGGAACCTGCCCTTTCTTCAGTCCCTTCTTCTCTGGGGTACTAAGCGAGCGAGCCGGCACCAAAACGTGACGTCAGAACACTGTCGGTCACTGAATGGTGAGGGGGCAGAGTCACTGGTTCTTTCAGAAGCTTTTCAAAACAACCCGATCTGCCACTTGTAACTACTCAAACTCGGAGCAGCGGCTGTGCATAATTTTAAGATTTTAAAAACAATAATGACAATAAACACTGTGGTCTAATGCTGAAGTCCAGGTGTTTTTTGTCTTTAGTGATCAACAACAAAATTCAGAGCGAGCTAGTCACCACGGAGGATCATACGAGCTGCCGACATGAAGAAGCGTGCGAGGACGGACCCCTAGCCCAGACCCCGAGCCCGGTCTCATCTGTTCCCGAATGCCGGACCCCGAGCCAATGAGCAGACAGGGGTGGACCGGGACGGGTCTGGGATGGAGGATGGAAACGATTTAAAAAAACATTTTATGTATAAAAAAATAATGTATTGTTGTTTTTTTTAAACAGTGAAGATTAAAAAAAATTAATAAACAGTGCCAGCTTTATCATGAAATCCTGTTTTCACTTTAATAACTTAATTAAATAATCTGTTAATTAAAGTTAACTCAGCTGACAAATCATAAAGACACAAAATAATTGGATCTCTCAGGAATATTTCCGTAAAACATGTTTTAAGAAGAGTTACAGCCTTTAGTTCAACTTTATTCTAACACACAGATGTACAAATCACAAAAAATAGTTAAACTAAAGCAAAGCTAAAATAAAATTAAAAAAAAATTCTGTATACAAGAAACAAAACCACATATCAAAATTGAACAATAAAAGTAGACACAATGAGTGCAAACACATTAACTGATGGAAAAAAAACTATAAAATAGATGTAGAGAGATGTATAGATGTTTTGTACAATCTGGTTCATCAGAGATTTAATGGTGAACTAAAGTTCATTAAAAGTTCATTAGTAGGATTTATATATATATATATATATATATATATATATATATATATATATATAT